AGAGCATATTTATACATCAGAAGGGACAATTCCTGCTTTGGCCGGACCCTAATCTGTCTTTCCAGACAGCAGAAACAAAGGGGGTAAAACATGCTTAAGGACAATGCCTGCTGTGGCTGACCCCTTGCCAGTATCCCAGCCTGCTATTCATGTTTACGTGTCCCAACAGGCTACTGGGTACATCATGCTCAGTGCTTCTGCAGCAGCAGTGACATGGTCCCCTGGGTGCTCTTGAGAGGGGGTCTGGAACTAGATCCATTCCTAGCTCTGAAGGCCCGGCTCTTAGGATCTACGGCAGAGTACAGGCTACAGACTTACTTGGCGTTGAACCCCCAAATGTGCACTTAAAATCCCTTGGTGCTCAGGGGATCGGTTTTGCAAACCCAACGGCCATAGCGGCAACACGATGGCCACCATCCTATGGTGATGTCTTAAAAGCTAGGTGAAAGAGCTGGTGCAGAAACAACCCCTTACCAAGGAATCTTTCTTTGCGTGGTCTCCCCAGCTTCTGTTCACTAGACACAGCTGGCTCTGTGAGCGTGTGCATGAGTATGTGGGTTCTGTGCTACCTGCCTGGTCAGTCCTTTGCAGAGAAGTGACCATTGGACCACACTGTGCACGTCACCTGAAGGTGGTAAGGGCAGCGATCACGCAGCTGTTCCTCCTTCCTCCTGTGGCAGCAAAACGTACACCCACACGTCAAGTGGGCTGAGTTCTAAAGACCTCTCAAAGCCAGTAACTCCGGCTATGGCTGCCCAGCACCGTTCTTCCAAAATAATGTTGTGCATGTCTACACAGCAAGCCCGTTATTTTGAAATAGATGTGAAATAGCGGGTTTCTTCCTCGTAAACCTCATCGTACGAGGAGTAAGGGAAGTCAGGGAACGCGTGCACCATTTGGAAATCACTGCGGCGTAGATAGCGCCAAAAGTCGAAACTAGAGATTTTGACTTAAGCTGCGCAATGAGCGTAGCTCGAGTGCCGTAGCTTATTTTTGAGTTTCCCCCATGCTGTGCAGGGGGAGGGGTAGCTCAGTGGTTTGAGCATTGGTCTGCTAAACCCAGGGTTGAGAGTTCAATCCTTGCAGAGGCCATTTAGGGATGTGGGGCAAAAATTTGTCAGGGATGGTACTTGGTAATGCTGTGAAAGCAGGGAGGGGACTGGACTCAATGACCTTTCAAGGTCTCTTCCAGTTCTAGGAGATAGGCAATCTCCATTAATTTATTTAAGGTCACCGTTCTCTCTGGCTGGTGCACGCCGCCTCCCTGAAGCCCTCAACAGGAGATGGGTTGATTTCTCTCTCTCATGTGGTGGTCAGATGTTGTCTGGCCTTTGAATTGCCTGGCTTTGTGGCTTTAACCCATGTTCCCGCTACTCTTTTCCCCCATGTGCAGAATCCATTTTATGTGCACCAAGAGCTGTGTGAATGTGCACCACTAATGAAAATACCACCTATCTGGGCCCTCTGAAAATCAGCTGAGCACCCGGCTTTAACTTTTCTCTTGTGACTTCTTACAGCTGCACTTGATAAAAATGCCCCTGCTGCTGCATTAGCCCTTCTGTTTTACTCCAATTTCTGCCCTCCCCCTGCTCCTTATCAAGTGCACAGCTGATCCCTTAATAGAAGCGTAAGAGAAACTACCTGTCGGCTGTCTAATGCGCATCTCCCTGACATGATGAGGAGCAGCACCGCTGAGTCGTGTCCAGGCATCGCTGGCTGCTCTTTAATCTGCAATTCCTGACTCCCTGCTTCATGGATCATTGGCACTATAAACCATAATAGCTCCTTTGGCGCCATGCCAGGCTATCGAATGAATGTCGCTGCCGCGGATGGCGTGGTAAGACTGTTCACAATCCTTGGGACGATTGATGGAAAGCAGCTGCTGGCCACGCGTGCTTGGACAGAGGCCGCTACAGGCGTGGGATTGATCATGCTGGAGCCGGGATGTGATCTGGCTGATAGCTGGAGATCTCCAACTGCATCCATATCCGGTCTCTCAGCCCTTCACTCTTCCCCCAGTATGCCAGGAAGGGGAACCCTCGTCACTCCATGCCACAGTGGTTCACAGGGTAAGTGCCTGTCCTCAAAGCAATGTACTGAAGCTACCCATAACCAGCAGGTAATAACTCCTGGTGAATTGGTCTTGGCATAAGTACTAGGGGTCACCAAATGAAATGAATAGGAAGCAGGCTTAAAACAAAAGGAAGTTTTCAGTTAGTGTGCAGTCAACCTGTGGAACTCCTTGCCACAGGATGTGAAGGCCAGGACTTTAACAGGGTTCAAAAAAGAACTAGATAAGTTCATGGAGGTTAGGTCCATCAATGGCTATGAGCCAGCAGGGGTAGGAAGGGCTGTCCCTGGCCTCTGTATGTCTGGAAATGGATGACAGGAGAGGGATTGCTTGAAGATTACCTGTTCTGTTCACTCTCTCTGGGGCACCTGGCATTGGTGAATCCCTGGCTCCTCAAAGAGAAGATGGCACCTCGGCTCTCTTAGAGGAAGGGTGTAAAGTTTGAAAGATTCTCTTCCTGACGCCTTTCCATC